TTTTGTGGCGTCTCCACGGACCCCGAGCCATGCGGGTTCGCACGCCCACGTCTGGCTGTGCGTGGCTTTCCCGTGTCTGGGGAAAAGGGCATCCTGGTGGTTGAGCCGAGCCCGGGGGAGGTTTGGACCCTTCGGGGCCCGCCGGGCGAGGCAATACACCACTTCGGCCCCTGCTTCTCATAGACGGGAGTCCTGGTAAGGCCCGGCCAGGATGATTCAGTCTAGTCGCCACTCCTTCTACTATCCCCTCCCTTCTTTCACCCTTGTCTCCTCCTCTTTTTCACTCTTCTCATTTCTCTTCTTTCCTTTTCAACTTCTTCGGCGGCAAGGGCTAACCTTGGGTGGTGACAGATACTCTCGTCCAGATCCACACTTGGTTATAGTTTCTGGGTAGCGCTAATAGAGTAATGCTTCCAGCAAAGCCATATTTGTTATGGGGTGTTACCTATTCCCTTGTTGGGCTCCGTGGTGGGCGGCGCGCCACAGATTCTGAACACCCTTTGCCTTTTTATGGCTCCCCTCTCTTCTAAACCCCTAGCAGAGCGACCCCCCAAAAGGGTTCGCCCCGCTCCCCCTACTTTTGAAAAAGCCAAAGAACCCGACACCTTTTCGCGATTTCTTGTACTTCATGCTGCGAACGACTCTCTACCTAATTAAATTACAAATAGCGCTAGGACGAGGACAGACGAAGAAGTGGACAGGACAGGCGCTAACTCACAACTGACGGTTTTATATACAACGTTAAAGAAGAAGGTGAAGGAAGTGTCTGGTGTTGAAAAAAGAAGAAAAAACCGTGGGAGACAAATTGAAAATAAAAATATTGGATAAAAATTAATAGAAAAAAAAAAGTTAATAGAAAAAAAGTTGATCGTCCAAAGGCCGCCGATCAGTGCCTCGTACAGCTTATTTACCTTTTTACATCCAACAGGCACCACAGCCAAAGCTATACCGGCGCGAGCGCATAGACCCACCCGGTGCACCACCTCACGCGCTCACGTGCAAGCGTGATTATGTATAGTGGTTCAAGTACTGAACCTCTTTGTCCGTCAACGCCAAGGATGGTGCGGAGACGCATTTTTCTCCATTGGCTTGTATGGTCTGTGCTTCATAGATTTCCCTGTTCCTCTTTTCTTTAAAACGTCCGATCACTTTTGTGTTTGAAAGCAAAGGTGTGCAGGAGCAATCTCGCACATGCATGGCTAAATGTCCAGAAGGTGTTGACTGCAGGGTCAGGGCATGTTCTTTCAGTCGTGTGTTTATGCAACGTCCAGTCTGTCCTATATACACTTTCCCACATGTGAAAGGGATTTCATACACCACTCCGCTGTTGCAGTCGACATACTGGTGCTTGTGGTTTATGTTGCATTCATGATGTTGTTGCTTGACATTGTTGATTTTTGGGCACATTCGTTTTAATTTATCCGGTGCCGATAGGACCACTTGGACTTCAAACGTGGAGGCTATCTTCTTCATGTTGTGCGAAATCTTGTGGATGTAAGGCACCACAGCCGGACGGCGTCTCTTCTCTTTTATTTTTTCTCTTCTTTTGTTCGTTGTCAATAACTTCTCAGCGATGTCAGTCAGTACCGGAAAGGGGTACCCCCAAGCTTTCAAACGAGTCACTTGTAATTCGAAGCTTGATTTTGCTCTGTGCTCACAGGACTTGTTTAGCGCCATGCTTAAGCAATTAGACACTATGCCTCGCTTTACAAGTTTGGAATGGGATGAGTCATAGCGCAATAGCCGTTTTTTAGAACGTGGGTGGTACATCCAGCAGGTCTGGTTCTTGTTAAAAGTAATCTGCAGTTCTAAAAACTGTAGGATGCCGTCCGTTGGCACCTCAATGGTAAAGTTGAGCTGTTCAGCCTGTTCAGTCATCCTATCGACAGTGTGCGTGCCACATTTCTGGAACAGGCTGAACAGCTCAACTTTACCATTGAGGTGCCAACGGACGGCATCCTACAGTTTTTAGAACTGCAGATTACTTTTAACAAGAACCAGACCTGCTGGATGTACCACCCACGTTCTAAAAAACGGCTATTGCGCTATGACTCATCCCATTCCAAACTTGTAAAGCGAGGCATAGTGTCTAATTGCTTAAGCATGGCGCTAAACAAGTCCTGTGAGCACAGAGCAAAATCAAGCTTCGAATTACAAGCGACTCGTTTGAAAGCTTCGGGGTACCCCTTTCCGGTACTAACTGACATCGCTGAGAAGTTATTGACAACGAACAAAAAAAGAGAAAAAATAAAAGAGAAGAGACGCCGTCCGGCTGTGGTGCCTTACATCCACAAGATTTCGCACAACATGAAGAAGATAGCCTCCACGTTTGAAGTCCAAGTGGTCCTATCGGCACCGGATAAATTAAAACGAATGTGCCCAAAAATCAACAATGTCAAGCAACAACATCATGAATGCAACATAAACCACAAGCACCAGTATGTCGACTGCAACAGCGGAGTGGTGTATGAAATCCCTTTCACATGTGGGAAAGTGTATATAGGACAGACTGGACGTTGCATAAACACACGACTGAAAGAACATGCCCTGACCCTGCAGTCAACACCTTCTGGACATTTAGCCATGCATGTGCGAGATTGCTCCTGCACACCTTTGCTTTCAAACACAAAAGTGATCGGACGTTTTAAAGAAAAGAGGAACAGGGAAATCTATGAAGCACAGACCATACAAGCCAATGGAGAAAAATGCGTCTCCGCACCATCCTTGGCGTTGACGGACAAAGAGGTTCAGTACTTGAACCACTATACATAATCACGCTTGCACGTGAGCGCGTGAGGTGGTGCACCGGGTGGGTCTATGCGCTCGCGCCGGTATAGCTTTGGCTGTGGTGCCTGTTGGATGTAAAAAGGTAAATAAGCTGTACGAGGCACTGATCGGCGGCCTTTGGACGATCAACTTTTTTTCTATTAACTTTTTTTTCTATTAATTTTTATCCAATATTTTTATTCTCAATTTGTCTCCCACGGTTTTTTCTTCTTTTTTCAACACCAGACACTTCCTTCACCTTCTTCTTTAACGTTGTATATAAAACCGTCAGTTGTGAGTTAGCGCCTGTCCTGTCCACTTCTTCGTCTGTCCTCGTCCTAGCGCTATTTGTAATTTAATTATGTGTAACCAACTAGCCCGCCAGAATGTTTTGACTCTCTACCGTTATCAAAGATGTCACCTTTCCTTGTCTCTAAGGTCCTAGAGCAGACAATTGGAAAAAATTACAAGGCAAAAAAACTTGCTGGAGACCTCCTCGTTGAGGTAGAAAACAAAACTCAAAGCACAGAATACTGAAGTTGACTAGCTTAGGTGAACACCAAGTTCGTGTAACCCCGCACCGGACTTTAAATACTGTCCGCGGCGTCACCTCTGAGGATGACCTCCTTCAGTGTACTGAAGAAGAAACCCTTGAAGGGCTGCGTCGGAGTGCTGTTGTGGCCGTGCGGCGAATCACGCTACGACGAGACGGACAGGAGATACCAACCCGACACCTAGTCCTGACTTTTGAACTCCACTCTCTGCCTTCCACCGTGAAGGCAGGGTATCTAAACTGCAGAGTTCGTCCTTTCGTTCCAAACCCACAGCGGTGCTTTCGTTGCCAGCGTTTTGGGCATGGCTCCCGAAACTGCCGCGGCCGAGAAACTTGTGCGAAATGTAGTGCCACTGACCACGTCGCTGACATATGTGAAAACGACCATAAATGCATAAACTGTGGCGGACCACACCCCGCATTTTCACGCACATGTCCGAAATGGAAGGAAGAAAAGGAGATAATCACTTTTAAGGTCAAACACAATCTCAGCTACCAAGACGCAAGAGAACAGCTTGCCTTCAAGGCAAGGGGTTCATATGCCGAGGCAGTCCGAAGGGGACCCCCACTGTCTATGGCATCCGTGGAGACGCAGACTTCCCCGGAAGACCTGTCATCTCCACAAGGGTCCTTTTACGTACGCCCGAAGACGGTGGGTAACCCACTGCCTTTATGCTCCCATGGGTTGTTGTGCCCTCTAAGGAGGGTGCTACACCCTCCAAGGAGCCAGACGTGCAGTCACAGGCACCAGCTGGCCCTTTTGACCGGGTCGGGGGATGCCTCCCCGTGCCTCTGGGAGCTCCTCAAAGCCTGAGTGGTCAGATTCACATGTGCCGCCCAAAGGACCCAAAATCTCATTGGATGAGAAAATGGATGTGAACATCCCGCTCTCTGATGAGGACCTTCCTCTCTCTAGATCAGGCTCTGTTTCCTCGGCCTCCTGCGAGGCTGGAGGACGGCCTAAAGACACTGCAAAAAAGAAAACCATCCCACGGATTGTGGCACCAAAAGACGCATAAACTACATTTCACATTTTTTGCGTAAAACACTTATTGAGGCGTTTCCTTTATTGAAGAAAAATGTCTTTCTTCCTTCAGTGGAACTGTAGAGGCCTCCTGTCTAACTACGAGGATGTGAGCAATCTTTTAGAGGATCACCGGCCCATTGCATGTTGCTTACAGGAAACGCACCTAAAAACCACCCACACCAATGTTTTAAAACACTTCCAGGTGTTTCGTAGGGACCGTACACATGCAGCTCACGCAGCTGGAGGTGTTGCGGTGGTTGTCCAACGTTTGATTCCTTCTAACGAGGTAGCTCTGCAGACTTCACTTGAGGCGGTGGCTACACGTATTTTGTTAGATCGAATAATTACAGTCTGCTCATTTTATGTACCTCCCAATTATCAGTTAGGGGAGAGTCGGGAGGAATGGGACGCTTTTCACAAATGCATTTTAGTTTTGTTTATTATGAACGCAAAAAAGATGGTTGATGGATTATAGTACAAGTCGAAACAAGCTGCGCAAATTCTGCGAAACACAGGTTACTGCCACTTCTAGAGCAACTGCAAAAAAATAGTTTCTAACAGCTAAAATCTGTCCCATTCCACCCGTCCCTTCGGGTGGAGTGGGACATCCTTTGGGAGGAATGGGACGCCAGTAAAATATCGGTCCCAACGTCTTCAGCGGACATTAAAAGCCGATAGTTCCACATCAAACTTGAAGCAAGCTTGCAGGCGCTTCGTTCCCCCAATAGTTTTTGGCGCTGGCAGCTTCTTCACAATATCCGTTATTGGCACAGTCCCTATATCTTTCTGCGGAGGAAAGTAAAACTTTGAGCTCTCTTCTTTCTTTCGAAGGAACTGGACACTGACGTCAGTATTGTCACTACTTTCGACTCTACCCGTGTAATAAATGTCAGATTTTTTCATACCAAATCTGACAAGGACAAAATCGCCTTTTGTCACTTGAAAAGTTTTGTTTGGGCAATCGGCCTCAGAAATGTCCCGCCTCTCATTATCGGAACCCGACATGTCACTGTCTGAATCATCAAATGCAACGACAACAGTGTCGTCTTCAATTGAAGAACTGAACTCCTTCTGAAGTCGCCGTTTCTTTTTTGGGCGGGTAGTGGCGACAGTCTTAGCTGTGATAAGCGCTCTTTTTTTCAGACTCTGTCGTGCCAGCCTCTCTGCAGCTTCTTGTTCAATCGCATGCTTCTCGGGTGTATCCGTAAGGACTTTTGTCCTACCTTTCTTCCTTCCTTTTTGCCCTGTCTTACGCGGTGCAGCCTTAGGGTAGGGCCTAAGGTCGCTCGGAACAATCCGGCTGGGAGATGCAGTTGACGTCGAGGCTGCGTTGGCGACAGTAGGTGGGAAGACATCTGTAGAGACGTTGCAAGCTCCATGGCCGTTTGTCTCAAAGTTCAAATCACTTTCCAGTCGGCTTGCGCTGTCCGTTTTCCCGGTGATGGTGGCCGTCTGTCGTGACACTTCTCCGCTTACGGACGTTAAGGGTCTGTCAGTGACTGATGACATCATGTAGTCATCCGAAGTGAAGGGCTCGCTATTGAAAGGCCAAATTCCAGTTTTCTGAAAGCCCGAGATTATGTTCTTTTGTGTCACCGTTAATACGTAGGCGGATTCAACTAGTTGTGCAACATTGTGGATGGAGATGGTCTTCCCGGGGTTATTTATGAGCCAATCATTGCAAGCAGCGTTGTACCGAGATTTAAATGGTCCGTACACGGACACATCAAGTGGCTGCAGGCGGTGGCTACAGTGTGGGGGAAAGGTCAGCAGGATGACTCCGCTCTCTTTGGCCTTGTTGATGGTGTTGATGCTCACATGGCTTTCATGATTGTCGAGTATCAAGAGAATTGGCTCCTCCTTCGAGCACTTCGTATGTCTCACAGTGTGCTCTAACGCCAGCAAAAACAGTTCGCTCGACATCCAGCCCGACTTGCTTGCCAAACCGAGGCTTCCTGCCGGGGGCGCCTTTCAGAAAAAAATCTTTAAACCTCACGCGTGGGAAAATGAACACTGGTGGCAGGGCGTTTCCGATGGCATTGACAGTGCACAAAACAGTCACCAGTTCGCCGCGTTCTGCGGATGTAACCTGACCGATTTGCTTTTCTCCACGTGCTGCTGTTTGGTGGGTTGTGTGCAGTTGTGAAGCCCGTTTCATCACAATTGTAGATGCGGTCCGGAGTTAGCTTGTATCGGTCGTAGACACTTTTCAGGTTTGAAAGGAAAGCATCGACGTTGTTCTTATCGAAGCTTGTTGCCCAACCCAGACTGGTCGCTTCTGACGATCGAAGCGATAGCTCGGGATGGCGGTCCATAAAGCCCATAAACTAGTCTCTTCCAGCTACCTTCTTCTGTTCCCATGACGCCGGGCACTTCCTCTTTAAGGCTGTTGCAAACTCGTACGCCAGTGAACGAACTTGCATTCTCGTAAGCCCATAATGCATTTTGCTTGTTTTCAGCAAATATTCTTTCAAGAGTACTTCATCTTCTGTTTAGAAGACCATTCCGCAGACCAAATTGGACTTGAACATGATGCCACCTGTGTCACCGCATTCTCTGTACTTCTTCACTGCTCGGCCAAGCGATGATTTTGATATTTCAAAAGCTTCTGCTACGTCTCTTATACTTTTCTTTTCATCGCACACCAATCTCACAGCATCCAGGATCAAATTGTTCGATGTTTGAGCTCTGTCGGGATGCTTCCTCTTATAAACCCGCGGCATCTTCCTGAAAATGGAAATGGATCAAAAATTGGCAAATTTAAATATTCACGCACACCAAGCACGCTTAACGTCCTTGCAGGCACGTAGCAGCACTCATATTGCTGCCTATTATTCACGTGCTTATTCCGGGTTTCTCGCAAATGTGTACAGTAATCACACCTTTCTAGTGGAGAAACATTGCATTTTATGATGCCCCGTTGGTTTAGCGCGTCTTAACGTCAAGTGTCGCAGAAACAGCCTGTATGTTATTTAACATCACGGCACCAAGCATTTGTACACTTTAAATAACAAATAAAAAAATAACTGCTTTCGGATCTAAAGCGGCGCAGCATTCTAGCTTATTCGCTAGACACAGCACCAGCCGTATGGTGGGGAGGAATGGGACACTGTCCCATTCCACCCGCGACTCAAATGTCCCATTCCTCCCCAGGTGGTTCGCCCAACGAAAAATACATTCAATGGCGCAAATTCTCTTGTTAGGGCTAAACTTGTTATTGCATGAAGCACGACCCTAACGCGTGTTTTCGAAGAAAAATTGGTATCAGCATAGGCAGGGTGGTTTAAAACTGAGAGAGGTGTAATTGAGTAAGCGGATACCTACTTTTGACACGTGAAAAACGAGAGTTGTAGTCAGAGAAAGCTCCGTCCGGTGAAGACGGCCACCATTACAGCCAGGCTATCGGTATGCTAGCGCCACCTCGTGAGCAGCCGATGAACGTGTTTGAACTAACTCCTGGAGAGATAAACGAGCTGTCCCATTCCTCCAACCGTCCCATACCTCCCGACTCTCCCCTACATATGGAGGAGCTAGAAGACCTTGTTAATCAACTTCCTTCACCTTTTTTACTTTTAGGAGATTTTAATGCACACAATCCCCTGTGGGGTAGTGACAGACGGGATTCTAGAGGGGCCCTTGTTGAACGTTTTTTGCTTTCTGCGGGATTGTGCCTGCTGAACACAAATGAATCTACATATTTTAGCTCAGCAACTTACACTTTCACTTCCATTGACCTATCTATTTGTCACCCATCATTATTCCCATTGCTTTCATGGGAGGTCATACCAAATCCTCACGGAAGTGACCACTTTCCCATCATCTTAGAATTTAACCATCTTCCCATGACAGTCCCAACACGCTGTCCTCGTTGGAAATTCGAAAATGCCAACTGGCCTACCTTTAAAGAATCATCTCTTTTTGCATGCACATCACTTGACGATCTCGATATCAATAAAGCCACTCAACATATCGCTCAGCACATTTTACAAGCTGCTATTCTCTCCATCCCCATGACATCCTCGTATCTGCCCCGGAGGCCAAAGCCCTGGTGGAACAAAGATTGCCGTTTGGCCAAAAAAGAACAAAATCGAGCGTGGGGTATATTTAGGCGCTACCCTACAACACACAATCTTATTGAATTTAAGAGAAAAAGGTCCCAGGCGAGGTGGATTAGAAGGCAAGCTAAAAAAAAAAGTTTTAGAGGGTACGCTTCTTCAATTAACAGCACTGTATCTGCGAAGGAAGTCTGGGATCGCGTACATAAAATTGACGGCTCTTACCGGGCATTCACTGTCCCACTCTTGAGTCGGAATGGAGTTTGTTCTGCAAGCCTTGAGGAACAGGCCAACATCCTCGGTGAACACTTCGAGTATGTCTCCAGTTCGGAACATTACACCTTAACGTTCCAGCGATACAAGATCAATGCAGAAAAAAAAGCTGTTATCACATCAGGTGGCACGCACGAACCCTACAATACTCTATTTACATTATACAAACTTCAAATGGCACTTCTTTGTTCCAAACAAACTGCCCCTGGACCAGATGGTATTCATTATAAAATGCTCGAACATCTTCATCCATCCACTATGGAGCTAATTTTGTACCTTTTTAATAGAGTTTGGCTCGAGGGCCACTTTCCATCCTCCTGGAAGACCGCTGTGGTTGTACCAGTGCTGAAGCCCGGCAAAGATCCCTCTTGTGCATCTAGCTACAGACCAATAGCTCTAACTAGCTGCCTTTCCAAGACATTAGAAAGGATGATTAACAAGAGACTCATGTTTTTTTCTAGAACGAAACAGCTGCCTTGATAAGTTCCAGTGTGGCTTTCGGTCAGCACGGTCCACTGTCGATCATCTCGTCCGCTTTGAGACCTTCGTACGTGAGGCGTTTGTCAACAGACAACAGTGTCTCTCCATCTTCTTTGATTTGGAAAAAGCATACGACACAGCCTGGCGTTACGGCATTCTGCAAGATTTATTCGATCTTGGTTTCCGTGGCCGAATGTTGAGTGCCATACAGAGTTACCTGCAGCACCGTACGTTTCGCGTGAGGCTGGGAAAAACTCTCTCTAGGGAGTTTTTACAGGAGAATGGAGTCCCTCAGGGGGGTGTACTGAGTGTCACTCTTTTTATCGTCAAACTTAATTCCATTGGCCGTGTAATTCCTCCTTCGGTGCAATATTCCTTATATGTTGATGATCTCCAGATCTCCGTTTCATCTTGTAATCGCTCAATTTGTGAACGTCGCGTTCAACTTGCGGTCAATAATTTGGTCAGATGGGCCGATACGAATGGGTTTAAATTTTCTCCCGAAAAAACAGCTTGTGTCAACTTCTCTCGTCGACGTGGTGCTCTTCAGGAACCGTCTTTGAACATGTATGGTTCTCCTATTGTTGTAAAAAATAAGCACAAGTTTTTGGGCCTTGTGTTCGATTCCAAGTTGACTTTCGTTCCACACATTAAGAGATTAAAACTCAAGTGCCTTAAATCTCTAAACATCCTTAAGGTCTTGTCACATACATCATGGGGCTCTGACGGACTGTGTCTGCTGCGTATCTATCACTCAGTCATTCGCTCCCAGCTTGATTATGGTTGTATTGTCTATAACTCTGCTCGGACATCAGTTCTGAAGATGTTAGATCCTATTCATCATCAAGGACTGCGACTGGCTACCGGTGCATTTCGTACCTCCCCAGTGCTTAGCCTCTACGCGGAAGCAAACGAATTGTCCCTTGAGTATAGGAGGTTTTCCCTGGGTTTTATGTACACTGTCAGGGCTCGCTCGGTCACGGAGCACCCCGTTCGAGATAATATTGAGACGATCAAGTTCAAACGCGCATTTGAAAACAAACCTTCCACAGTCCCCCCTTTTTCTATGAGGAATAATACTGGAGCACAATCCGTTGGGATGGATGCAAAGCCTCAGTTGGTCCAATACTCCCGGATATAGCTCCATGGAACAACTGCCAGATACATTGTGACCTTACACTGACCAAGTATAACAAGAATGTTCCACAGGAAGTCATAAGGCAGAACTTCTTTGAGCTTCAGACCAAATATCACGAGTATGCTAGTTTTTATACAGACGGGACAAAAAAAAGACTCCGCAGTAGGCTGTGCTATGGTGGGACCATCGGTAAATCAGGTGAAGAGAATAAACTCAAAAGCGTCTATACTAACAGCAGAGCTTTATGGTTTGTTGTTAGCTGTTGATTACATAATCAAAAAACGCCTTTCTCACGCTGTAATCTACACCGACTCTTTAAGCTCTCTGAAGGCTGTCGCATCAATGAACCGTGTAAAAAACCCACTGGTTTCCAAGTTAAAGTACAAGATAATCCTGGCTGCAACGAAAAATTTTGACATAGTCTTATGCTGGGTTCCTAGCCATGTTGGCATTCCTGGAAATGAAGCAGCTGATAGTGCAGCCAGTTCTGCTAATGATAGAGAAATTGACACACACCAAATACCCTACAAAGATTACCACAATTCTCTGAAACGTTGCATCAAAGCAAAGTGGCAGCTGCAGTGGAACGGCGAAACCGGCAACAAACTACATGCAATCAAACCTCTTCTAGGCGAGTGGGAGAGCGCCCGACATCGGGAGCGCTTTTATGAAGTTGTACTGTGTAGGCTACGAATCGGTCATACTCGTCTTACACATGGACACCTCTTGAGCGGGGAGGATGCCCCTGAATGTGTGCACTGCAACCTACCTCTAAGTATTATGCACATACTCATTGAATGCCCTATGTATGACCAATGCCGGTATAAACACTACTCACTGCTTTATAAAGAACACATTCCACTACACCTTGCCCTACTACTATGTGACGAACCGCTCATTCCATATAGTTGTGTTTTTAATTTCCTCACAGATATCGGCCTTCTACACCGACTGTGATTTTACTTTCTATCCTAAACTCATTGTCATATTGTTTACACTTATACACATTCAT